TGGAAGATCCGAACAACTTCTTTATGCGTGATATCCAAATCCCTGTAAATATATCTGATATCAACACGAGCGGGTCAGATTTTGAAAGAGAAATTGACAATATGCCCATGCACTCAGCCCCGGGTCCAGACTCATGGAATTCAATATTTATAAAGAAATGCAAAGTGTCAGTAGCACAGGCACTCGGTATAGTGTGGAGGAAGAGCTTGGACATGGGGTAGATACCAGATGCGCTGAAAGCAGCAGACATTGCCCCTCTACACAAAGGAGGGAACAAAGCATTGGCAAAGAATTATAGACTAGTTGCACTAATGTTCCACATAATAAAAGTATTTGAGAGTGTGATCAGGAGTCAGGTCACTAGTTTCATGGAAACCAATGACCTCCACAATCCAGGCCAACATGGATTTAGCAAGATCATGCCTCTCACAGCTACTTGACCATTACGACAAAATCACTGAAGCATTAGAAGAAAAACAGAATGCAGATGTGGTATACACAGATTTTGCAAAGGCATTTGATAAATGTGACCATGGAGTGATAGCACACAAAATGAGGTCAATGGGAATACCTGGTAAAGTAGGATGCTGGATACTCAGTTTTCTATCAAACAGAACACAGAGAGTAACAGTCAACCATATAAAATCGAGTCCAGGTGCAATTAAAAGCTCAGTACCTCAAGGTACAGTCCTTGCACCACTGCTTTTTCTTATTCTCATATCAGATATAGACTCAAATACAAGGCACAGCTTAGTATCATCCTTTACAGATTACACAAAAATCAGCATGAAAATTACCTCTGCTGAAGATATTGAAAAACTACAAGCAGATATTAATAAAGTTTTCAACTGGGCAGCAGAAAATAACATGATGTTTAACAGCGATAAATTCCAGGTAATCAGATATCCCCCCTAATCCCCCCAGGTGGTCCCTCCCAACGCTCCCCTCTCTCCCGACACCACCCACCCACCCCACCCCCACCTACACCATGCGCCTCGAGTCTCGGGCAGACGGGATTAATACCGTATGGCCCGCCTCATGTTTTCATATACGGACAAAGGCACGATTATCCGGGGGACTGACCGGATAGTGTAATTTCTGCAGAAAATTAACCGGGCCCCAACATTTTATCCGACTAAACCTGCTTTAATCCGGTCCTTGTGGCTATTTTGGCCGGATATTGTGATAACTTTATCCGTTCACGATTTTGGCCGTATAAGGGCGTTTTTCGGATGTTCGAATCCCGGATAATCGCGGGGTTACAGTAATGAGTTACACCAATATAGTAAACTCGTTTGTCCAAGGACAGGATTCACTAAAGCATATACGCAACCTCTACATGTTTCGTGTGTCGTGGCGGCTTCGTTAGCATTTATTAAACAATTTATGAACTCCTAAGCACTATGAGGCTGCTTAAGGGGACATGTCTCTGAATATTAAAAGTTGTTCAATGTCAACCAAACTTTTTGGACTAGTTGTATATGAAAAGGGCTGCAACTGCTCCAAGTTTCAGTATTGCAGCCTAAATAGAAAGGGAGAATTTTTTTTTGTTTTTTCAATGAATTTTACACATTTTCAAATCAAAATTACAACCACAGGTTTCAAATGAAATCATTTCTATGACACTCGTCTATAACATTTGCATATAATAAAAGGATCTGTTTCAGCGGATTTTCCAAAATATGTTTAGTTTTTCTAATACAAATAGTCAAAGCTCCATAAAAAAATTATGCAAACATATCATGGTTTATTACTATTATAAAATCAATAAATGAACTTAGGAAAAAAAAGTCGAAACATATTTGCAGAAACAAAAACTACATATAAGGTGTAAGTTTCATGTAAATTGAATAAAATATGAAAGAGTTATAGGAACGTTTGTGTTAAAAAAAAATTTAACTATTTTTTTTTTTATAAAACTAATTACTAAATATTTTTATTATATGCTATTGTGCTAGCTGAGAGTCATAGACATGATTTGTGGACATGAGCATGCTGAACTGTTTCAACATGTACCTTGTGAGAACTGGACGTAAGCCCACTTTCCGTGCCTTTGTATTTGATGCCGCAATACAGTTATTAGGAAAGTTTGCAAAAGATGTCCCAGGGATTCAGAGGCCCATTATAAACTCACTGTTGCAGCATGCTGGTACTCCACGCCTCACTCACACTGGAGCCTTCCTAGCACACAGACTCAAGTATTTGCCACCAGCTGGGAAGCGTGCAATAGGCCAACGTGATTGCTTGGTGTGTAAAACAACGACACGTAGAGATCAGAAACGGAAGCTTGTGCAAACATGGTGTGAAACGTGTGGTATCCCATTATGTGCTGTCGACTGCTTCAATGACTACCACAGTCTAAAAAACTTCTAAGTGTGCTTCTAAGTGTGTATAGTGTGTGCGAGTGTGTGTAAATATCTAAAAATATAAGCAGAACATGCAATATAATAGACTGTAATGGAATATTATATTGCCGTAATTGAAAACATTTGTGTGCGCCTGTGTATACTCGAATATGCAACAATTATTGATATAAAATATGTTAAAACATTATATGGAACACAATTAGTGAAAAAATTTGGATAAAATGCGCCTAGACATTGTAAATAAATAGCGCGAAAATATATTTGTGGCAACTCTGGCTGCTTGAGGACTGAGCGCAATGCCTCTGGGGCGTGTACTGCATGAGCGAACATGCAGATTGTGACGTCATCGCTCATCTTGCCGGCTCTATTGTAACAAAAGTAAGTACAATAGAATTTTTTTTTTATTTTTCCTGTGATCAGTGAACACAAATTAATAGGTTAGGAAGAATTTTTTTTTTTTTCAAAATTACATGCACCTGTGGGGAACAAAGGATATTATACCCCTAGCATGTTAAGGGTTAAAGGGAAAAAGTAATTCTTTCACATAATTTGATTCAACAAATAATACTATAATTTTCATCTTTTAACACTTTCGCCCGGGCATGACGCGGCATTGCGTCATCCGTTTACTGTCGGTAATGCCGGGGATGACGCAGCATTGCGTCATCCACTTTAAATAATCGCCAAAAATCAGGTTTTTATCCGATTTTTTTGGGACTGGTTTTAAAATGCGCGCCGATGTCTTCCCATTTTCTTTGTTGAGCCTCGTGGCCCTCAGGTGGCTTGGCACACGCCGTGGGCCCATTGTTTTCGCTCCACTGTTGTGACTAATGTCGCCTCCCCTCGCATCTCAAACGTGTGAACATTTCGGCTATTTTCCGTGGCTATATTTCTTACTGCGGCTTTAGAAACTATCTACGCTTACTCCACGATGGATAGTGATCATGAACAAGGCCCTTCCAGGAAGAAAATTGCAAAAGAAAGGCTTGAAAAGGGCGGGAATTGGGAGTGTAGCTGGAAGGTGTCTGAGCGCTCACTTGCGGCTAACGCGTGGCCCGTCTTCAACTCGTCGGCGGTTGGAGCGTGACCAGGTTTTTTATTTTATATGCTAATGTTCCTCTAGAGAATTCTATTGCGAACCCATTGAGACCAAAATGAAAGACCTAGGACGAAAATTGAGGTGACTAGAGTGAAAATAGTGAAAACATTTTATCGCGTTTGCGCGCTCCTGGGTAACTCGTTCGCACTTTCTCTGTTTGCTGCGGGTAATTAGCCGGGCTTTTGGAGTTTATATGCATTTAGTGCTGTAGAGAATTCTATTGCGAACACAATGATACAAAATTTAATCTCGTAGGACGAGAATTAAGGTGACAAAGTTGAAGAGAGTATACACTTTTCAGAATTTACGCACGCTCCCGTGACACCCTGGGTCCCATATCGCACAGTTGAGGGGTGGCGCGCGGGGTACGCCAAAGTGTTAACACTATCGCGCTCCCCGGTATGCGCGCTGCCAACTTAGAGGTCACGCGCCTGACGAACGGGCAAGCGTGCGGGCAAGCGCACAGCGACACTGAAATGTGTATACTCGTTTCAGTTTTCTCACCTTAATTCTCGTGCTACGTCGTTCGTTTTGGTATCATTGTGTTCGCAATAGAATTCCCTACAGGTGTATATGCATATAATGTCCAAAAGCCTGGTGTAACTCCCAACAGCAATGCCTAAAGTCGGCAAAAGTTACCCGTGAGCGCACAAAATCAGTAAAATGTGTATACTCATTTCAGTTTTCTCACCTTAATTCTCGTGCTATGTCGTTCATTTTGGTATCATTGTATTCATAATTAAATTCCATACAAGTGTATATGCATATAATGTACAAAATCCCGGCATGCCTCCCCGCAGGAAAGCCTAAAGTTACCCGTAAACGAGCACCAGTTGGCACACTGCAACCTAATGTGAATACTTGTTCAGTTTGATAACATCAATTTTCTTGTTATGTCTTTCATTTTGGTATCAAATTGTTCGCAATAAAAAGGTGCGTATTTTAAAACTAGTCCCATAATAAGAGAACAATAACTGGAATTTTAACAAATATTTTAATTCTGGAAGCTCATCATTACAAAATTATTTATATCTTTCCAGTGTTCTGACATGAATATTTGTGTTACATCTTTCATTTTGGTACCAAATTGTTCGCCTTGTAAAGGTGCACATTTTAAAACTAGTCCCAAAATAATAGCACAATAAATAGAATTTTAACAAATATTTAAAAATTTTGACCAAAAATGTATTTATAATCTTTCAAGTGTTCTGATATCAAGTTTCGGGTTACATCTTTCATTTTGATATCAAATTGTGCGCACTCTAAAGGCACTTATTTTGAAACTTTCCCGAAGTCGATCGAATAAAAAATTAATTTAATACAAATATTTTTGTAATGGACGCGAGTTCTGTCCACGACTAAGACTCAAGAGAAAAAAAATGGACATGATCGGTGTCCAAAGCAAGTGATAGTGTTAAGGTTTTGAATATTTGTCACTTAAAAAAGACCTTTTACTGTTCTGTACTTATCTATACTAAGTTTAAGTTTTTTGTCTTTGATTCATCTCGTGTACTTAACTGTTGTCTTATCTGCAGAAATCACGATTCACGGCGTACATGCTCTGGGCCCGAGAAATTCGTCCTGGGATCATCCAGGCAAACCCCAACATGGGTAAGTGAAGCCTTGTCCACATTTTAGAAAATGGATATTTAGGTGTCATATATCTTTTGTCAATATAATTTTGTTTAGTTCTAGTGAGACTATTAGAAAGATTGGATTATTTTCTTACGGTAAGTGTAAAATTAATAGTTTTGGTCTGATTAGATGCATGAACAGTGCAGAGCAGAAGTGCCGCCATTGAGTGATTCACCAGCCACTGTTTATAAGTCAGTTCCATACATACTCACTAACCAAAGTGACCCCTGACATGCAAATAATAACATAGTTATTGTTTTTTGTTTATCTTTCCAGACTTCTCTGCAGTCAATAAGAGGCTTGGCGAGCTCTGGGCTCTGGTGCCAACAACACAGAAATATGTAAGTGTTTATATATGTATAGGGATGAGTGCTAGTCGCTATTCACTAAGGTGCTCACACTCATCTTTCCCTCACTTTGCATCTTCTGCATGTCTATAAAGTATTTCAATATAAATCTTGACCTTTATCTTCAGATGGGAAGGATTAGTTTTTGTGCTTAGCATGTTCATAACACATTATTGTTTGTACCATATATATACAGTATATATATATTGAGACATTCCTTGCATGTAGACTGGGAAAAACTCCCTTGATTAGCTTTTATCGAAACATATCTAGTTTGGAATTCAAATAATTATCAACATATAGAGATACATAAACGATTCACCAAAAAATATTCTCATTCATTTTTCAGAACTGGAAGCGCCGGGCCAAACGCCTGGCTGCCAAAGGCAATCAAAAAGGCTCAATGATTAGCACAGGTAAAGCCGCCAAGCAATCTCAGAATGCTGCTCGAAGCAATCTCATTAACAAAGGAGGCGTGAAGCCCCAGCAGGTGATTCGAACCCCATCTAAACAATCGGAGGTCGGACAGTCTGCACCAGCCACGACTCACAAGGCCCACACCACTACGCCAAAGTAAGTCTGGCTTTTTATTTTGGCTCCCAAAAATATTGTGATATGGTCATTAGGATCACTAGAAACATGCAAATTGTTGCATTTTTCTGTGGGTGAGCCCCATCGGTTCCGTCGACTGATATTAGCTATACTGTATTAGTCTGGGGCTTCAGTCTTTACGGAATTCGAGCCTACCAGGGACCACTAGCCAGAACATGATCCCCTCAGAGAGGTGTTGGGAGCAATGGCCTATAAAACTTGTATGAAAGTATTCATGTTTGCCATCAATCGTGGTTGAGCACCCAGAAAAGTAGGGATCCCAAAATAGACCCCTCCTAGTAGAAAAATTGCAACTTGAGACTGAACAGAGGCTAGAAACTCCCACAAGCTAACAAGCAACACATCATCACATCTCACTTGACCCCTTAGCCATCAAGCTAAACCCTCTGAACCCCCTAGGTCGGCTCCAGTCCATCGGGCTGGCAGCAGGACCATTAGTTCGTCAACTGAAGCCGGCTGGGGCTGTTGTCTTGCTTTGGCTGCGGTTACTTGTCAGGCTTTTCACCTGTGCGGTGCTGCTGTGTATTGGAACGGTGGCCAGGAGTCGAGTACCAAGAGCTGCAAGTATTTAGACCTACCTTCCCTAAGCTTCCTGCGAGTAAACCCCCTGGGATTCAGGGTTACCTTCCCTGGGATCTTCGAGTTCTTCACTCCCATAGAGGTAGCAGTCGCTGGCCTTCTGCTGTTTGGGTTTTGGCCTACCTCGACGACTGGTTGGTCTGGGCTCCCAGCCAGTCCACGTGTCTGCTCACCAGGGGTTTGGTTCTTTAACAGCTCTTCGGGTTCCTGGTGAACTGGAGAAAGTCCGATCTGGTCTCATCTCAAGTTCAGACTTGGCTGGGCCTTGTCTGGGATTCTCAGACAGCGTCCTTGTCTCCCTCAAGCGGGTGGCATTGCTCTGGCTGCAGTCCTTCCGTCGGCTGTTTCTGAGGGGATCCCAGGTCACGCGGCAGTTGCTCGAGCAGCTTTGTGGAAGTCTTAACTTCGCTGTGATCATTTACCCGCTGGGTCGGGTTTGGTTGTGGCATCTGTTCTGGTTCATTTGGGCCTGTCCCTTCCGTCTTTCTCGTGATCGCTGGGTTTGTCCCCCAGGGGCCTTGCGTCGGATGCTACATCTCTGGTTTCCTCTTCGGACTTTTCAGGGTTCGGTGCCTTGACATCTTCCGGAGCCTTGCCACGATGTGTTCATGGATGCCTCCTCGCTCAGCTGGGGCTTTGTGACCAGTGCTCACCAGGCCGGCCAGGGGTGGTGGGCTCACAGCATGGTGCGGGAGTTCACGGCGGTGTGGCGAGCATTGCCTCGGATTCATCTCCCACGGGCGAACAACCTGTCAATGTTCAATTCCCTGTCCACGGAATGAACGGTCGACTCCCACTCATTCAATTGGCTCTGCCAGACGTTCGGGCCCCCAGAGGTGGACCTCTTCATGTCAGCATGGTCACGGCATCTCCACATCTATGTGGCGCACTTCCCCGACTGTGAGGCTGTCCCGGTAGACTCTTTTTGGCAGGGAGTTATGCCTTTAGGACTGGTCGAGGTAGGGTTACCTATACCTCTTTCCCCCGGTTCAGCAGTTGCTTTGGGTTCTGGCTCGGCTTGAGTCCTGTCAGGGGAGGGTTCTCCTTCTGGCACTATGGTGGCCGGCCCAGCCTTGGTTTTAAGTGCTGCTTGCTCGGTGTCCAAACTCGGGACATTTTCCGTGGCTCCGCCTCCTTCAGCAGATCAGGCCGGTGAGGTGCCTTGCTGGTTTGCACTTCGCATCTGGAGTTTATGACACGAGTGTATCACCGTCTGTATGGTGACCAGGTGGTTTCCCTGGTCTTCTTATCTTCTTCCTCCTGCGTTCTTCTTCTTGCCGACAGTATGAAGTCTCTTGGTAGTCTTCTCGTCACTTCCTTTCCCTGCGTAGATTATCCTCGGTTTTGGATCGTGTTGTGTTGACTTTTCTTTCTTGGCTCTTTCAGGACAGGCATCCTATGCCTAAGACTGTCACCTCATATCATGTGGCACAGGTGGAGTTGCTCCAGCTTGTGTCAAGGTGGATGTTACTTCGGCTCCATTTCGCAAGCTTTCTTGTGCCATTTTTCACCTCCGCTCTGCTCATGCACCTTCATTCTCTCCTCGGTGCAGAAGCTTTTGCTCTTTTGATCCAGGTGGACGTTTTGCTTGTTTGCAGCCGTCTCCTTGTTTTCTGGCGAAGAACGAGACGGCGGGCTTCCGGAGGGGTCCGTGGGTTATTGAGGCTTGGTTGCTCAGGCCGGGGGGGTGCATCATGTTTTGTCCGGTTGCGACTTTGTGCCGTTAATCACATGCCTCGGCTTCTGTGTACGGGGGGACACTGTTGGTTGACCCGATATCCCTCGTTCCCTGTTCCAGGGCTCGGTTCTCTCAGGTCGGGTTATTAAGTCTATCCAGCCTGTGGTCTACCCTCATGCCCATGATATTTGTAAGTTTGCAGCTTTGGCTGCTGTGTTTGATAATATGTCTTGGGCTGATATTCGGGCACGTGGGTTTTGGAGATCTAACAGGGTCCTGCCTGCCCGTTATCTTGTTAGAGTGTCAGGCCCTCAGCGGTCTTGTGTCGCCTTGGGTCAGTGGTTGCAGCCAGTTGTCTTATCTTCATTATGAGTGGTGCAGTGCAGCCGCCTCCTGCGTAAGTCCCTATTTTTCCTGCTCTTTGGGTAGTTAGCTCCAGGGAGCCGATGGGGTTCCAACACAGAAAACCAGAGTTGAATGCATTTTATAGGTAGAGCCCCAAAGGCTCCCTGGCTCCCTCCCTCCTTCCGGTCAGCAGTTTTTGTTTCCCCTTTTGCAGTCCTCAAACTAACGGTCCTGCTGCTGGCTCAGTAGGGGTGGGGGGGGGGTGCGAATGAGCTGCACGCGGTGTGATGACATGTTCCTTGTTAGCTTGTTTTCCTTGGGGGAGTTTCTAGCCTCTGTTCGGTCTCAGGTTGCAATTTTTCTACCAGGTGGGGTAGAAAAAAAGAGGGGTTTCGACTGGGCATCAGAAAATAACATGATGTTTAACAGTGATAAATTCCAGGTACTCAGGTACGGTAAAAATGAGGACCTTAAACACAATACAGAGTACAAAACACAATCAAATGTACCCATAGTAGGAAAACAGCATGTAAAGGATTTGGGAATAATAATGTCTGACGACCTAACGTTTAAGGAGCATAACCAAGCAATTATTGGGACAGCCAGAAAAATGATAGGATGGATTACGAGAACTTTCAAATCCAGGGATCCCATCACAATGGTTGTACTCTTCAAGTCACTTGTGTTGTCCCGTCTTGAGTACTGCTCAGTACTCACTTCCCCCTCCAGAGCAGGAGAGATTGCTGAAATAGAGGAAATACAGAGAACATAACGGCACGCATAGACGCGATAAAGCACCTAAATTATTGGGATCGTCTCAAAGCTCTCCAAATGTACTCACTAGAAAGATGATGAGAGAGATATAAAAAAATATACACCTGGAAGATACTGGAGGGCCAAGTACCAAATCTACACAGTAAAATAACAACGTACTGGAGTGAACGATATGGAAGAAAATGCAGAATAGAACCAGTGAAGAGCAGAGGTGCCATAGGCACAACCAGAGAACACTGTATAAACATCAGAGGTCCCCGGTTGTTCAACACCCTCCCAGCAAGCATAAGAAATATTGCCGGAACAACCGTGGACATTTTCAAGAGGAAACTAGATTTATTCCTCCAAGGAGTGCCGGACCAACCGGGCTGTGGTGGGTATGTGGCCTTGCGGGCCGCTCCAAGCAACAGCCTGGTGGACCAAACTCTCACAAGTCAAGCCTGGCCTCGGGCCGGGCTTGGGGAGTAAAAGAATTCCCAGAACCCCATCAACCAGGGGTCTGTTTTGGGGTGCCTACCTTTCTGGGTGTTCAACCCTGGTCAATGGCAGACATGAATACTTTCATACAAGAGAGTTTCATAGGCCATTGTTCCCAACACCTCTCTGAGGGGACCATGTTCTGGCTAGTGGTTCCCGGTAGGCTCCAACTCTGTAAAGACTGAAGCTCAAGACTAATATAGCTAATATCAGTCCGATAGCTCCATGGAGCCTCCAGGGCTCTACCCAGAAAATGGCATTTCATTACATTCAACGCTGGTTTTTAAGGCACAATATTGATATTACACTTTAAATCACAATTAATCTGCCAAAATTTAACTTTTTATTGCCCGAAAACATCTTGAGTTGGGCCAGAAACTATACATATTTTTGGTGCGTCGTGCGTGTATATTTCCAACACGCTGTTCCCTACCATCTGGCAGACCAGTTTCTAGTATTCACTTTATAACCCGATACATTCTTCTGTGAATGAAGGCCAAGAGAACCGTCGACAAATGTTGATAGAAACTCCTGGAAATGGAGTAACTTTAACATTTCCTCAGTGACAGTTAACTGGATTGTTCAAATTGATAACGATTAATTTAGTTTTAAAGCTTTACATTTGTAAAGAATCGGAGCTTATATCTTGCGAGTTGACGGCGAGGCCTGGCTGGGAATGGAAACTGACTCTGGGATGCATTTTGTTATTGCCTAAATTTATATTATAATATAGCTGCTGGCAAGCGGTGGTTGGGTGCTGCTCAACGAAAAGCAACGAAACAACGAAAATTTGAATCGGTGCATTGCTCGGGCATTTGTAACCATGATAATTGATATTAACGTACAGTGGTACCTCGGAATGCGATTGTCCCTGTATGCGAGGTTTTCGGAAGGCGAGGTGTATTTGCTCCAAAAATTTGTCTCAGAAGGCGAGGGTTACTTCGGGAGGCGAGTTTGGACGCGAGTTTGTTGATACGCGTACAGCCGACCTAGCGCGTTCGTCGCCCCTCCGCCCCGCCGCCCCTCAGTTTATTATTGTCTCGCGCTCAGTGACTACCCCCACATCAATTCTTCTCGCGTATTTTCAGTGTTTTGTTGGATTTTTGGT